GCCTGCCTCTACCTCCCAAGTGCTGGGATTAAAGGCGTGTGCCACCACACCCAGCACACAATGATTTTTTTTAAAAACTAAGGAACTCTAAAGTATGGACTTTAATATTGTTTTAGGATGGTACTGGCTTATTAATTGTAATGAATATTCTAATGGAAGATGCTGATTGTAGGGGAAACTAGATGTGGCGTATGTGGACACTGGCTATTCCTTCTTTGTAATTTTTTCATTAATCTCTAACAGTTTTAAAAATAATGCCGGGACGCCACACACCTTTAATCCTAGCCCTCAGAAGGCAAAGGCAGATGGATCTCTGTGAGATCCAGGCCACCCTGATCCACATCATGACTTTCAGGCAGGCTGTGACTAGTGAGACCCTGTCAAAAAGCAATCATCAAAAAACAAAAAACAATAACAATAAAATAATGCCGATTAAAAAAAAAAAAAAAACCTTGACAAAAAAAATCAGTAGTTGTGCAGTCTGAGAAGAGGGAGGAGGCTGACTTTGAAGGGGGACTTTCGGATTTATGGGGTTGCTCCCTAACTCCATTGTAAGAGAATGCATGGTGACTCTTACATGGCTTCATGCATTTCTTAGACTGAAAAGGGGTAAAACTTTCTTATATGCAGACTCTACCTTCAATAAAACAGTGACACATGTCTCTCCACATGGGCACCTTCCATGGTTGCCTACTGCCACGGCACCCATCCTGCTCAAAATCCTCCCATCCCAATGCCTGCTTCAGAAAGTCCTTCCCAGGATCACCTAAGTATTACTTCATCTCTTGTTGCACTTTTCAGTTGGAAAAATCCAAATCATTTAACCTTTCTTCATTGGTTTTCCTTTTCTGTCCTTTCAGCTTCTCAATCATCTTTCATCTTAATTATCTTACTGAGACTTCATAAATTTTAAGCATAGATAATTTGCATTAAGGAGAAAAGACTGTGATGAGGAAATTAAGATTGTGTTTACATAGTAAATACATAGTTAACTCACATGCCTTTCTTTCTCCACAGATAGCAGTGAATGCCTCGCAGATGACTGTAGTATAATTGCTGGAGGGAACCTCACTGGTTGGCACCCAGATTCTGCTGCTGTCTTATGGCGAAGAGTCTTGGGTATCCTTGGAGATGTGAATAATATCCAGTCACCCAGCATTCATGCCAGGGTTTTTGGCCATCTTTATGAACTCTGGTACAAATTGGCAAAGGTGTGTTCTGCTCTGTTACTTTTTATTCTAATCTAGAAACATTGACTGACATACATCATTTAACATACAACTGTCACAGTTAACTACTGAATTTATTCTGGAATTTAAATCAGGCATTTAGATGAAGTAAATTTGATTACCCAAGAGTAAATCATAATGTTGTTTTAATATTTTATAAATGCCTAATATTTATTTCATTTAGTGCAAAAGTATATTAGAAAACACTAAAAATAGGATATTATGTAGTTTTGTTATTTTTATTAAAGTGATACTGTTTTGATTGTACAAAGTTGGAAAATGTAGAAGAGTGCAAAGAATAGTTATATCCCCATTTTATAAAATAATCAGTATTTATATAGCCCTATTTCCATGAATAAAGACACTTTATCAAACTAGAATCTTACAGATGAAATCATCATTTTCATCCTGACTTTGGTTTTGATACTAGGAATATATCGTTTTCCATTATTAATTATTTTTTCTAAAACATGATTTATGTTCCCCCAGAATAATTTATTAAGTCATTTCTTATCATTTGAAGTTCAAGACCTCCCCAGGTATTCACATTCTAGGAAAAAACAATTCCATTCTTTTGCGTTAAAACTTAGAACCATATGGAGTAAGGCACAAAGCTCAAAAGAATAAGAAACCTCACAATAAAAGACTTGTAAATATTACAGATTTCTCATTACACTCACAAAAACGTAATTGGTAGTAGTTATTTGGCAATGGAAGACAGTATTGTTACATTGTTGTGATAAGTGAAGTGTTTCCCTTTCTCTTGAATTAGATACGGGATAATCTAGCAATAAGCCTGGATAACCAGTCCTCTCCATCTCCTCCACTCTTGATCCCACCACTCAGAATGTTTGCATCATGGCTATTTAAGGCAAGTGGATATGTGTTTATTCTTTTATTGCAATTTCCTCTTCCTTTCTGAAATTGAGTTTAAAAAATTGTAATTGCCCAAGACTGCATGTTTTGAAGACAGGCTGGTCTTACTAAAGCCGTCACACCCCACATCTCCATAAACAACTCTTCAGGAAAACTGAGAAGTAAATGAAATGTTGAAATGCTCTGCATCTGGTCTTGATTTAATCTGGAAACATCATCTCCTTGGCAGGCAACGATGCTGCCAAATGAATATAAGGAAGGCAAACTGAAAGCCTACAGACTGATCTGTGCCATGATGACCAGACGCCAGGATGTTCTGCCAAACTCGGATTTCCTGGTGCATTTTTACCTGGTGATGCACCTGGGATTAACCAGCGAGGACCAGGTATCCAGTGACTTCTTTATCATTGTATCCCATAATAGGAAACTCTGTATCATGCTTGATATGTATCAGGGCTTAGAATAAAACGTCAGAAATGTTTTCTTTTCTCAGTAGCTTCAACTCTCACACAGAGCAGCCGCAATGGTCTTTCAAAAGTGAATCAGGTTTTCTCACATCCTTGCTTTTTCCCTCACTGACTCTTTATTACCCTGACTAAATTTGAATTTTATTCTGTGACCTTTATAATCCATCTTGTCAACTTAAAAATACCATCTCAGTTACTTTTTCTCTTGTTCTTTTTCTCTTGTTAGTTCTTTCCTTCCTTCATATGGGTCGTAGGGATTAAACTCAGGTGGTCAGGCTTGGTGGCAAGAACTTTTACCTTGTCAACCTATGACCTTTTGATTTATATGGGAATATCAAACAGGTAGATTGATGTGATTGATTTGTTCTTCACAAAAATATTCTAGACTTCAGTTGGAGGGTGAATTTGAAGATTGACAGTGGTAGGATTCAGTAAAAGTTTGGGCCTACAGATAGAGATAATTGAAATGGTTAAACTAACAGCAAAAAAATAAAAAGTTAAGAATTAAGATGATAGCTAGAGAGATGGCTCAGCAGTTAAGCACACTGGTTGCTATGCCAGAGGACCTGGGTTTGATTCCCAGTACCCATATGGCAGCTAATAAGCATCCATAACTCCAGTTATCTGTTCTAGCAGATCCAATGACCTCTTCTGACCTCTGTGGGCATTGCACAACACAGGTGCACTGACATATATGCAAGCAATACATTAATACACATAAAATAAAAAAAATAATAAAATGTTTTAAAGAATTAAGATGGCAGCATTGGAAATAGGAAGTAAGGAACAATTAAATGTTCTGGAAGTCAGAACATTTTAAGGCTTATTGGTAGATCTTGACTAACTAAAATTATGAGAAGTTTTGGAATTTACCCCTTAAACTGCTCATATTTACAAATTTATTAAGTACCAGGTAACTGGGTTTTTTCCTGTGTATCTCTTGCTCTCTTTGGATGTATGATGCGGACACACAAATCTTTCGATATCCCCTGGATAAGAGGCCACTTTTGCAGTTGGAAATGAAGCTTAGCAGTAGAATCCTTGCCTTTCATGTGCAAAGTCCTGGGTTCAGTCTCCAGCACAAAGATTGCCCCCCCTTTTTTTTTTCTTATTATTATTCTTTTTTTTAAGGATGTACATGACCCTTTCCAGTGCTTGGGAATTGGGACTATCCCTGGCACATCTTTTTCTGTAAGCATTGATCTTTTACTGAGCCATTATCATACTGGCCCAGTAAACTATCCTTGTTATATTTATTCTGAGCAGTGTTAGAGGATATCAGTATAGCAGACTGAGCTTAGACCCATAGCTTTGTTTGTTTTTTAAATAAATGCATAGACAGGGGACATCAAGTACAATCACCTGTATTCTTTCTGCTTAAGTATTTTATAGCTACCCCTGCAGGTGGAAGCATCTGCTACAGAGTGATGCATTGCAGGGTATGTGGAAGGTTAAGGAGTATAAATAGGGATGAAAATTAATTGCACATATAATAATGAGCTCCCTCAGTGTAGGAACCACAATAGAAAGGTTTGCTTAACAACACTGTATTTTTTAAATTTGTTTTTATTGAATTTTGTGTATTTCATACAGAGCATCTCAATCAATTTTAATCATCTTTATACTCTCTTCCCCACTGGCACCTTCCCATAGTACCCCCACTGGAATTCATACTGTCATTTGTGTTAAGGCCTATTGTGCCAAGTTAGTGTCCCCAGATGTCCCTCGGTGCAAGTTCATCTACTGAGGTCTAGTCAGCCTATCTAGAGTCCCTCGCTTTATTAAACTTCACCCACCCAGGGCTCAGGGAGCATTGTGGAAGAGGGGGTGGAAAAATTGTAAGAGGCAGGGAGAAGGTGCACGACCATAAGGAAATAGAGTCCTAGAAGCTCCTGGAACCCTGCTCATATGAATCTACAGCAGTGGTTTCAGCAAACACAAGTCCCATGCAAATTCAAGCAGACAACAACCCATCATAGAACTGGGGAAATTGGACAGCTGACCCCAATCTTAGCTGACAAAATATTGGCAACTAACAGCACTGTACTTTAAAGCAATGTTTTGCTAATATTTTTCAGGGAAAAGAGCATTATTTGGAAATAATGATCAACAGTACAATTCCTGATATAATAAAAACAAATTTGAAATCAGCACTAAACAACATTTCTTAGAAGTTTTTTAAAAAGCTACGTAAATAAGTGTGAGTTTAAAATCTTATTTCTGTTTAAATGTGCATTGGTGTGAAATGAAGTAATAAAATATGAAGTAAGGATTTATAGTATTTAAGAACCCCAAGCAGTTCATTTTTATGAATTATTTAAAAGGTATTTTACATTCAGGAAAAAAAGTATTGATATTATATACTTAAAATTATTTTCACATTTTAATGTATGTCATATTTTCAGTTAAATGAAGACAGTGTTCTTTTGTAGATTTGTCATGTAAATCTTAAAAAACAGCCTAATGCTAGCAATAATCCCAACATGCAGACTTTAGGGTAAAGCAAGGATATCATAGGTCTCCATTCTGTGACCAGTCTATTGTGTATGCCAGGAGGAGCCTGGATTTTTATGTGGGTTTAATAGAACTGACTATTTTACTTTAACCTTAACAGTTATTAGTATATAATTTAGAAGCTCTGACTGTCTGCCAAACAGAATTACCCTAAATAAACTTTATTCCTTTGCCAAAAGAAAATTGTACAGAAGACCTTCTAATGAAAGAAACTTTTCTCATTTAACTAAGAACTGTCTCTGGTTAATTAGTTTAACTTTTGGCCCACATGTCTAAATAGATCATGGCAGTTGTTTTAGAACTTATATGTACTTCTGGAAACACATGCTATATTCATTATAAAAAGATAAGAAAGTATTTGCTGCAGAGAATACAGTTAAATTCAATTTTTTAATTGACAAACTGTACACCTGTGGCTGGTACCATGTCCGGCAGGACTTGTTTCCACCTCGGGAGACTCTCAAAGAGCCACACTTCCATGTATCCTAACACTAAAAGGGTTTGTTTATGCAGAGGAAACATTCTAAGGAACATCCATTGTTTTTCAAATAAAATTTAACTTTTACTAGTTTTGTCTTACAAATAAGATCCAAGATGTGTTTCTTCCTTTGGCCTCTGGGTGGCATGCTTGTCTGCTCAACTCAGCCCTGTGATTTAAAGCTGCTGGAGACCTGAACCCTTTGAATATTATGTTGCATGTGACATGATGTTTCACAAAATGCTATCCTGAGTCTGAGAGTATCAAGATTATGTACAGAGTGATCAATATAATGTTGGGCTATAAATATACTCTAAGATGTTAAAATTTTTTTCAAGCTTAATGGTGCTTGTAGTAATTGAGACGTTCAGGTGCAAAAATCCATTTGTAAAATAGATATCTCACAAATTGCCATGGGTTTGGGGCATATAAAATCATGACTTCATCTAATATGGTACCAAATTTGTTATGTAAACAAATTTAGTCATTACCAAACAGGATGCAAAATGTAGTATGCTTTAAAACAACATATGTAATATTCTTTTAGCTATCTTAATAATTTAATAACTAGCACAGTGGCTTAATCAAGCAGCATTTCTCACAATACAGATGTATGGATTTGTGGTTTATCTACATGATCAAAAACATACTATAAAATGGCCTTATTTGTTTCTTTGACAATGGATTTCTTTTACAACATTAATCTATATTACTGATTTAAAAAAATAACCAGGTTTGTGCATGAAGAGATGGCTCAGTGGTTAAGAGCACTCACTACTCTTGCAGAGGACCTGGGATATCCGACACCCTCTTCTGGCCTCCACAGGCATTGTATGACATGGGTGCACTTACATAGATTCAGGCAAAACAGCCATATACAAAAAATAAAATAAAAAAATAAAAATAACTGGATTTATAATTATCTTCATAATAATTATCACGTATGATCTTTGAGTGACTTTCAGGACTTCCCAGTTAGACAATGAAGGAGCTTTCTGTTGGCCTCCTCTGCCCAGCTGCTTTGTGCCTAGTACCCTGGGGTGGGAGGTGGAAAATGTTCATTTCTCCTAGATCCACAATGCCAGACTCTGTACTGGGAACAGTGTGATATCCCACAATTCTTCTCCACAGTTCAGTTAGATAAATATCATGTCCTATTTTGTGAATAATGAAAGTTAAAAACATATTGAGAACGTTTGCCAAATGCCATGTATCCAAAAGGCTCTTAAAATTGACATAAAGGCTTGGTTCATCCTGTTGAGCATGTCTTCCATTGATTCACAGCTAACGTGTTGGTGAAACACTCCTGCTGTTGTTTTACGTGGGCATTGGTCACAGTCCCTCTACCTGAGACTGCTCGTTAGAACACCCTTCTGCCTATGGAGGTGTTTCCATGACGTTGCCTTCCCAGCTCTGTCATTCTTCAGTTTCTCTTCTAAAGCTGCTCTTGGTTGTTCTTCAACATTTAAGCAGCTTTTTCACCTTAGTCTTCCCCAAAATAGTTTGACATGAAAAGAGCTACAATTTCAATTTATTAAAAACATTTCCTATTAATTTCATGATTATTTAAAACATTTGGAAAGATCAATATATGTGAAATGGGAAAGGACAGTTAAGGAAAGGAATTTTATTTTCATGTTTGTTAGAACATATATCAAAGACTAAGTTTTCCTTTCTTAAAATAAGTAAACTATTTTTTTAACAATGACTTACAGATTTACTGTCTTAATGTAATTTGTCTGTTATACATCAAAGTTAAAATCTCTTTTAAATGCAAAGCTTACAGTAATACAAAATTATTGTTGCAAATTTGCATATAGAAATTTCAGGAAATGGGCATCTATAATGTAATATTCTCATATTTTGTAAGAAGGCAAAAAAGTATGAGGTTTCCTTCAAGTCAAGAAGGGTAGGTTGCTCTGCTCT